GCACCAAGGGGAAGGTAGGAGGTGAACCACCGGCAAGCTTCTTGCCTTCATCCCTGAGCCTGTGCCTGGGTCTACCTCCCACTTGGCCCCCCGTGAAGAAGACGGAATTGTTCCTCACGCTCCTGCTGCCCCCACAGCGGGCCCACCACCACGTTCCCCTTGCTGCAGCTTTGCAAACAAGAAGCCGTCACTGGGTTTGGTACCGGGGTTGGGCCAGGGATTACTCCAGCTGCAAACACATCTGGGGTGAAACATCACCCCTTCCACACCACAGCTTCGAACGGAGTTGGGGCAGAGACAAACCCGGAGACTCGGAAACCAAGGAGGGATGCTAGTGTGCTGGGCAGAGAGAGTCCTACCATCACGGTTTTAAGGGCTGTCCCAAGCACAACAGGGCCTTTCAGGACAAAAACAAGACAAAAAGTGTCCTGATGCATGGACTGCGGCCAAGACACCAGCACTGCAGGATGAGTCTGGTGCAGGACGAGTCCAGCACCATGGGAGGAGAAGGCTGTTCCCCATCCATCTCCTACGCCACTGGTTTTTCACCTGGCAGCTGCTGACCCCACCGCTGCAAGGGGACAGGCTGCCAGGCGTGATGCCGTTCCTGGTGTCCCCCAGGCAGTGCAACTGCTTTATTCAGCGGGTGAGAGAAATCCCTCCCATTCAGAAATGTCTTTTCCCTTTGCAAAGGCAATGGCACACAAAACCTGGTGGCACCAGCTGGCCAAGCTGGCCAGAGCAGGTCAGGACCCACCACCAGGCTCGGTGTCCTTCGCCTGCTGCATTGCCCCCCTTCCAGGAGGGCTCTGTGAGGGCTTATTTGCTTGCATGACTCCAGAGGATTTGGATTTACCAGCCACTATTTGCTAAGGACATAGCAACAGAGTCCAGTGACGCTCTGCGACCTGAACTGTGGTTTCCTTCCATCATTTTCTGGCAAGGTGCTGATAACGCTTGATGTGTGTTGGGGGAGCAGCCCTCCCCACGGTGACCAGAGGGAAGAGGCAGGCGATGGGGATCCTGCAGTCCCTCCATGCAGTGTTACAGCACCCGGATTTAGAGCAGCTATTGCTACATGCGTGACTAAGAACAGAAATCCCGCACCCTTGCTGATTTTGATGTTCAGATTAGTTGTTTGCTTCTCCAGCTTCTCCTTTCCTAGGGAGCTCATTTTAAGATTTGCTCTATATACTTTGCTACTTGTCAGGGACAAATTTGTTGGCTTATACCATACTTCTAAGCAGAACCTCAGATCCAAATGTCCCCAACAAATACTTATTCAACTACAATTTAAATAAAACTCATTTCAAAATGCATAATGCCAAAAGGTCCCTCTGCCAATCTTAATCTCAGCAGAGCTGCAGAGCACATGTGTCTGGAGATAGGACTCACATTCACATTTCAACTATGCTCCACTAAATGCTATTCCTGATAAGAATCCTTCAGTCGACCCTACAAATCTTTCTCGCTTTTACCAACCCCAGGAACTCTGGGATATTTTGATTGTGCTGCTGTTGTTTTTCCCACTAACATGAAGAAGATTGCATCCTGTCACTAGCAAGATGTCCTTGGCACCAGGTGACTCAACAGGATAGAGAGTGAATAATTCAGCGCTGGTCTTGACCCTGTCCTGTGCCAGAGACAAAGCGTGGTTCCTCCTTTGCCCCCAGGCAGGAATAGTGCTGCTGGTTTCAGCCCTCCGCACCATTTTCCATGCCACACACCCTCCACGTTGCATTCAGGTCTTACCTTCTTAATCTCCGGAGCTGGGCAGACATCTGAGATCTGGGGGGACTCGCCGTGCAGCCGGCAGCTGGAGCTGCTCTCACTCCAGACGCAGCGGTGCCCCAGGTCCTCCCTCCCCAGGCACTGAGAACAGTCAGCACTCCCAGTTGCACAGTTATACACCTCCACTAAAACACCAGAGACAACAGAAAACGTGAGCTCCTGGGCCTGAGACTTTCATAGCTTTGCTTAGCTTGAGGCAGTCAAACACCCCCCACTCCCCCCCACCCCCGGGCTTAATCCAAGAAACATCTGAAATCCAGTGGAAGAGCAGAGCAGCTTGCACATACAGCAAGATGAGGCAGTGCTTGGCTGCCATCCTGAAGATTTCCCAGAAGGGCTGGGTGCTTGTTCTCACTGCAATATAATTTAGCACTTTCTTTTCCTTTTTCTTCCCCTTGAAAAACAAACAACACCCAAACTCGGAACCTTTTGTCAATTTATGCTACATGTTTCCAACTCACAGCATCCACATGGGAAGCTGCTTGGCAAAGCTGGCTCCATCCTGTTAGCAAAGCAATCACATTGCTTCCACACTCTGACAAAAATCGGATGGCTATGGTGCCTTGTGCAGTGTTTACTGCACTCCTTTCCTTCCCCCTGGTGACCACGGGCCCCTTTCATTGACTTCTCCCTTCAGATCTGCTCAGCTCAGCTTCCAAATCATTTTCCTACACCGCTTTCACCTCTTCGTTAGCTGGTGCCCTAGGTTACGTTTCCTCTCCAGCCCAAAGCCTTCTGCCACCGAAGTGTGGGTATCCGCTGAGATAAACAGCCAGAAACACTCAGGAAACATTGCTTTCACACCCTTTTCCCCAGAGGAGAATTTGCAGGAGAACATAAAACAAAGAAACAGTCACATTTTGCACTTCTGTTCACAGGAAGATCTCAAGGCGCTTCATAAGCGACTAACGAATCCCTCAGCCTTCAACGGTCTGCCTGTGCTTGTGCTGATGAAACGTCACCGCCACTGAGGGACTCTCCACAAAAAAATGAGCTTATTTCACCTCGCCTTGCATCCACTCAGTGAGTTACGCTGGCTGGCTTTCCACCCAACAGCAAAGAGCTGGGATTCCTTCAGTGAACTACCAAAACGCAGTTTACAATAAAAGCTAATAAATATTGAAATAAAAAACAATAATAACAGTAATGCCATTAAAGAAGGTATAAAAAATGCACATATTTGTAATTGACCCAGATCTCTGTCTCTGCTTGCAAGTCAGCCTCTAATTTTACTCTCACCAATCTGATCAAGGCGAGGAGGAGCCAGAGCAGTCTAACAGTCCCACAGGATCTCCAAATATTCTGGCAAATTCAGACTGATGCAAACATGGTCTGCATAAGCGAGCCCCTTCTCCGCACAGGAGGAGGGGGGATTCCACCACGCTCTTTCCGCTGTCGTTCCCGCTCCCAGCACCACCCACGCTGAGAAGTAAGAGTCTTCTCTTGCACATCAAAATGGTCTTAGCTCAGATCTCCTACTCCTCTCCTTGGGGTTACCCCTCTATCTCAAAAATACGGACACTCTCTTCTTTCTTCAAGGAAGTCGTGTCTCATGCCTACCCATGCTGATACTTCAAAGGTTATTTCACCGCAGAACGCGTTGCAAGATAAGCCTCCTTTATACACTGGGATTTACTATGGGGAAACCTTTTTATCTTGGGTCAGTGGCTGATGGTGTTAATGTCTCTCTACCCATTACAGCTATCCTCCAAAGAAAATCGCACTTCAGGGATCTAGTTCTCATTTGCATCTAGGGTAAATCGGTCCTTTCTACTGCAACTGCTGACACGACTTAAGGGGGAAAGAGCCCAGAGCTGCTGCCTCCAGCGGGAGCACACAGCGAGGTGCAACACCGAGTCCCCGGCCGGGGCAGGGAGAGGCGGCTGTTGTGCAAACGCTGGCCCCGTGGGCCAGCTGGCTGGGCTTGTGCGGAATGCCTCGTCCGAGTGCACTCTCGGTCTGACTCTGCCTGCCTGCCTTAGTCTGCTGATGTAGCAAGGGCTTTTTTGGGAATCCGAGCGTTCTTCCCAGAGACAGAGAGCGGGCCAGGGGTGAAATGTGTTTACACATTTTCTTCTTTCTCAGCACAGGGAGAAAAAAAAAAAAGACTCCATTTTTATAGCGTGCTGAACCTTAATGCCAGGCTCCTGTGAGAGCTCACGGCAGAGTTCTCCCCCACCCCTTATCTCTGCCGGGAGGAATTCCTCCCCGACCCCGGGGACGCCCCACATCTCTGCTGTGACCAAGCATGCCAGCACAGCCCGTCCCAGGCTGCCGGCAGGCGAGGGCTGAACGCTGCCTGTGGTCAAGGACAGGGCTTGACTTTCCCTGGGTGTAAAGGGGATGTCCGTGGGTGTCCGTCTGGTTTCTGGGCACACCTTCACCCGGGTAAATATGTTTTTCTGTGTGCCTGAGAGAAAGAACACAGCTATGCCCGGCTGAGCCACGGTCTCTCTCCTGAACCTATAAACTTTGCCAGGATTTGAGAGTCATTCAAGATGACCAGATGAGAGCAGAATAAAAATATTTTCAACTCAGACCTGTCATCGTCTCTGGACTGTCGATAAATCTGTCTGGTCTGTCCTTCAGCTGAAGGTTCACTGGGAAGAGGTGGCTTTTTTCTGATGTGTGGAGCTGCACAGAAAAGACAAATAAACAAAAGCTTGGGAAATTTAGTAAAATACGAGGTTCCATATGCATGCTACATGGATTAACATTCCTCGTGAGGCTCCTCTGACCACTGCTTCTCAGTGCAGGAGGGTCTCATCTTTAGCAGAGAGAAAGAGAGAGAAGGATGTTTTCTGTTTTAATTGTTTTGCTGAGGTCCCAACAAAGGGCACTGGGGAACAGCGCACACCACAATGAGAGCAGAGCCCTGGCTTGCTCTTTTTTTACTAGAAATGGACACGAAAACTAACAGACTGGCAAGTCTGTGCATTTTCAGTGCTGGGCTACAACAGAGAGTTTTGCAGGTGATGTGAAGGAGAAGCGCTCCTCTCCAGCTTCCACTCCCAGTGTTCCCATCGGTGGAAGCCCACGTTTGCCGCATTTCAGAGGTGCAGTTTGCCCTCCAACAACCACACACTGCTCCTCAGTGGGCGTCTGAGCATTTCCTCAGGCCAATTCCTAGTTCAGAATAAAAGCTACAGAAATAGCAACACTAAAAAGTGGCCAAATTTTTACCCTGAACTGAACTCTTCCCATTTAGAAAGGTAAACAAGCAGCTAGTTCCCAAACCCCAGTGCAGTAGGGGCTGCAGAGGCACAGAGCAGACAACGCAGCATCAGGGACTCGTGGGCACCCTTCCAGCACCAGAACACGTAAAGAGCCTCTTCCTGGAGGGGTGAACCCGGTCTGCACTTTTTTTTCAGCTGGAAGCGGAGGGAGGGAGGGGGGAAGGCAGCGTCCCGGCTGCCAGGTGGGAGGTTGGGGGCAAGACCCTCCCCGCCCTCGGACCTGCCCCATGCCGCAGGGGGACCAGGGGCCGGCAGCATCACCCTCCGACTCACCAGCACGTGTACGCACTCTACGGCAGAGGAGTTCACCCACCGGGCTTCAAACGTTCTGTCCGTCCCAAAATGGCACTCCAGAGCCGTCTCCTGGGGGAGGGAAGACAAGGGCAGAACGGCTGCAACAACCGTTTTGTGCAGTTCTCCATCTGTCAACCCATACGGCAGGCGCCGTGTCTCACCTTGTTTCTGCCATCAATACCCGAGCCGTGTGTCAAGTCAAATAGGAGATCAGAACCCGATATTGTAAATAGGGCTGGGGTCTGTGTCTAATTACACACCCATAGATATAACTGCTGCAGGCTGAGCATCGCACGGGGAGCCAAGCCCTGCCCCTTGCTCTCACCCAGCGTGCTGCTGTCAAGCGTCAGGACCGGGCGCAGGGCAGCCGCTCCTGGAAACCGGGGCACACAGCACGTGCAGACCAGAAGTGCCTGACCCATGGCACGTGTAGACCAGGAGATGCGTTTGACCCATGGCATGTGCAGAGCAGGAGACATGCCTGGCCAGGCTACGCTCTCATAACCCCCCCCGTTGGGGTCACGGGTTCTGCTCAACCA